CTCGAGGGCGCTGCGGTTCCACATGGCCGCGGCCCTCAGGAGCTGCGCCGTCCCCTGCGGCCGGCCAAGGAGCCGCGGGGTCACTCGCGCTCCTCTGTGACAGTACGGGATCTTTCTGGAAGGCCCCGTCAGATAACAGGCGCTCCTCGCGCTTATTGATAAAACAGGTAAAAGACTGCGCTTGAGGGTGTTAAACGAACGCAGACATTCTAGATCACTATCTCGGGCTCGTGGCGGGGCCTTTCTGTCACTTTCGTTTGACACTTTCGTGTAATGCCAAAGTCCTTGTGGTGACAAATGCTCTCCCTTTGAAGGGTACCGGGCCGGTGAAAGTCACTGGGGAAATCACTGGATTGGCCGATGGGGAGCACGGCTTCCACGTCCATGAGTTCGGGGACAACACCAATGGTAAGATGTCTCTCCAGGCCTTTGGGTCATGGCGGGAAAGTGGCTGCTCAGCTCTGAAGAGCTGCTCGTGGTGTTGCAGCAGCAGCTTGGGTCTCACGGCTGCAAGTCTGTGTGAGGAAATTGTGGCTGTTCCCGAGGAATTGCTTCCTGGCTAATATTCCGAGCGTGTTGAGGCTCGTGGTCAAGACCTGACATACCAAGCACTCACCTGAACTCTTGGATAACTCAGTGTTCTGAAATAATAAAGCTTCTGGCTGAGCCTGGAGCTTGTAAGTCTGTAGCAGGTGATTTATCTCCAGGGGATTAGTAGGGCATGGCACGGGAGAGAAGCTGTTTGCGGTCGCTGGGAGCGGTGTGGGAGCAGCAGCTTCATCCTGGGATCCTGCTCTGACTGTGCTGTGTTCCAGGGTGCACCAGTGCAGGCCCTCACTTCAACCCGGAGCAGAAGAAGCACGGGGGTCCCAGCGATGCCGAGAGGTGAGTCCAGGGCATGGGCACTGCTGGGGGCTCAGATGTGCCAGAAAATCCGTGGGAATTCCTGCAGGGTTTCCGAGATCACTTAGCCACACTTTAATAACCCCAGCAGCTTGTTTCTCTGAGAGTGTGCTGTGAAATACTTTCCTGAGGGCATAGTCTGGTTTTAGCTTGGCCTGGGTGCAGGGGACAGCGAAGGCCTGATGCTTGTTCTGGGTATCTGTACTTGAGCGGGATGTGAGACCAGGCTCTTCCCTGCTAGCAGCTCTCACAGCCCAGTTCCCTTGGGTGGGTGCCAGAGGAGGTGGTGTGGCTGTGCCTGCTGCATCTGGGGAGCGGAGCTGGGAGTAGGGCTCAGGCAGCCTGGCCTTGCACAGGGACCAGCCTGGCACTGGGATCACCCTTGGAATGCTGACATGGGTGGTTGATAAATCCCACCTGAGCCACAGGCCCGGTAGAGCTGGATGTGGGCCAGCTGCTGCATGACACAGCACGAAATGTGTGTCGGGGCCCTGGCAACCACTGCTCGGGGCTAAAGGTTGGGAGTGCACAAACACTGTGGCTTCTGGAGCCTTAACAGATCTGCTCCTGGTGTGGCTGTGGGCAAGGGAATTCCTTAGGAAGATGCAAGAAGTGGATCTTCCTTTTACCAGTGTACAGAAACAACTGGACAGAAGCTTTCTGAAAGCTAAAATCAAGCAAATTCCTTATGGGAGAGCTGCCATTAACTCAGTTTTGTAGGACTTGGTTAAAAAAAAAGGAATTCTTGCAGAAAGCTGGTTGTCAGCCCTGGGCTGGCTGAGGTGGTCACTTGGCAGGGATGTGTCAGTAGTCCAGGTTCTGAATCTGGACAGAGGAGCCTGACAGAACAGGATCAGCTGCATTTTGAGTGAATGCTGTGCTTAGGGCAGGTGTGCAGGACACAGCACACTAGCACATCCAGAAGTCCTGTGAAAATTTTACTGCTCGAGGCTCAGTTCTCCTGGCAAGCCTTAGCAGAGATGTAGCTCTGATAGAAGCTGTATGGAAGAGCAGTATGCCAAGTGATGGGGCAATGCCAAACTGGAATAATCATCCCTGGTCCTGGCTGGAACTGAGCAGTTCCTGCATTGCCTTTGACCTGCTGCCTGACAAACCGCTTCTCCTAATCCTCCTTAAACCAAAAGCCTGCAGCTGCCTGTGGAACAGCTGAGCTGTCATGCACAGCAAAAGCTCTGAGAACAGTGGCAGTGTTCACCAAGTCTGCAGGAAAGGTTGTTCCACTGGATTTGGGAGCCTTTGTTATGCTGTAACATAAACTCCCAGCCTTCCCTTGGAAAAGCTCTCAGTCCAGGCCACTTTCTGAGTTTCCTGTGTGTTTGTGCAGGCATGTGGGAGACCTGGGCAATGTGACTGCCAAAGGAGGCGTGGCCCAGGTGTCCATCCAGGATTCCGTCATTTCCCTCTCTGGACCACACTGCATCATCGGCCGCACCATGGTGGTGAGTGGCAAGGGAAACCTCAGAGCAGGGAGAGGGGATTTACAGCCATCCCCACGTGTCATAGTGTGGCACTTCAGTGCCATGGACCCCAATTCCTGCCAGCCTGCTGGAGATGTCCCTCTCTAACTCTGCCCCTTCCTACTGTGGGTGCCTGAATCGCCCTTGGTCAGGTCTTGGACAGGTCCAGCTGGAAGTTTGTGGCACAGAGATCAGATTGGCATTGTGTAATAATTAGTCTGGTGTTGCTGCTGCTGCCAGGAGCAGCCGTGATTGGAGCTGCAGTTAGATCAATTAAGGTCCCTTCAATTCTCTTGCAGGTGCACGAGAGGCGGGACGACCTGGGCAGAGGGGGCAATGACGAGAGCCTGCTCACTGGAAATGCAGGGCCCCGCCTGGCCTGCGGAGTGATTGGGATTGCCAAGAGCTAGGTGTGGTACCTGCAGTGCTCTTCATTGCTGCTCTTACCCTTCCCCTGCAAGTTCAAGATGTGTCATTTAACTCCCGCTCCTCTGCATCCTGAGCAGCACTCACATGCTGGAGACTGACTGAGTTTTGTATGCAGTATGTTCAATTAAAGTGTCCCTGATGGAACGGCTCTCTGGTCTCTGCTCACGTTCCTGCTGCCACCATTCCGTGTCACATCCTTGCTGTGAAGGAAGATGCGAGTTCTGCTCCTGTCCCAACCCCTGGATGAGCCCCACATGCTCTGGCAAAGAGCAGCAGCCCCTGGGTGTGTCAGGGTTTCCTCCTGGAGCAGGGGCAGCATTTGTAGGCTTCAAACCTGTGTAATAAATGTTCTGGGCAGATACACCTGGGTCTGGCTGTCTGTGAACAGGGAACATCCTAAACCTGCCCCTGCTGGGAAACGGGGCCTGGGCTTCAGCAGGTGTGTAGTTAAATCCCATCCAGCAAGAGGAGTGCCCACTGTGTGCCAGTGCCAGCCTCCATCCTGTTCTGGTGTGTCCTTCTGAAATAGATTTCAGGGTCTCTTCATAGAGAAAATGAGTCCTTTCAATGAGGACTTGTATCAATGTTCCTTCCTTCTGCACTCTAGGATATTCATGCAAGTAGCAGGCTGTAGTTCTAGGTAACCCTATTCCACTGAGGCACAGTACTAAGGGAACTGGGTAGTAGAGCAGGAATACTGTAAATATACTTTGAACTTACGTTCCCTGTTGCTGCCAGACCACTGTGTGAGTCTTCACCTCCCTGTGCCTCTTCCAGAGGGTTGGTGGTGCTGCTGCTGTGAGGGTTATGCACAGGTACTGCTGCAGAAGGTGGTAAGGAGTTGTTCGACAGTTTTCCAGGCTCTGCTTTCAGATCCCTACTGAGGCAGAGAACGGGTGGGATTTGCATGAACAGAGCAGCCTCGTGTCTCTCATTGCCTCCAGCTCTGTAAGGAGGTGTTCTCAGTGAAACAAACCCTCCCTCCTTACAGAGCTGGGGCAAGGCTCAAACCTCGATGTGTGGACAGGGAATGTCCCATGGGCCCGTCAGGAAACAACCAGTAAGGACACGAGTTTTAACACGGAAGCTGAGGTCACTACAATTTGTAAACAGGTTCTTTCTCTCTTTATTCTGCTATTGCAAGAACATAAAAATAGATGTCCTCTCCCCGGTCCACAGCTCCACAGTGGCTCTCCCACCCTCTCCCTCCCCCAGAGATAATTCCCTCTGCTGCAGGGCAGCTGTAAAAAACGACTGATGTAAGGAAGCAGCTGCCCTTCCCTTGGGGCAAAATGCCCAGCTTTAAATGTAGAACACACCTAGAGCAAGGAGAAAAAAAACATTGAATATGCACAGGATTCGTACACCAACGCTGCTGAGGCTATGAGAGCTCTGAGCCACGTGGGGTGGGCAGAACTTCACAAAGTGTCCCTGCCCCAGGGATCAGCCATGGAGAAACTGCACCTGCCCTCAGTACAGGTGACAGGACATGGAAGTGCTCTGGAGAGGAGGAGAGAAGGTGCCACAACACCCAGGAACACCAGAAACACCCTCTGTCCCCAGCCTAGGGGGGCACAACCTACCTCTGGCAGGGTGAGGAGGGGCCAGCATTCCCACAGGAGCAGCGCCATCTCCATGGAGGAAGGGCTGAGTCCTGTTCCCAGCCCCGCCTCAAGAGCCAGGCTGGAATTTTGGAGCCTCCGAGGTCTCACTTCCCAACAAGTACAAAAGCTGAGGAGCGGGTGCTGTCCAGCTTGGCACGGGCTTTGTAACCTCAGAGCAGACGGTCGGTGCCTGAAGGTGTTACTTCTTAAAAAAAAGGCAAATTAAGGGCAACAGGAACCACAGAACCAAGTGAAGGGAGGGAGGGGGGGAAAAAAATAAAGCAAAGAATGGACTGCACTGCAAACACTAAAACAGTTAATTCCGCAATTAACATCTTAAAACTAACTTTTACCCAGGGTGGTCAAGTAGCTCATTAAAATGCAGCAATCTAAAACTCCAGAGGACTGTTATAAATAAAAATTCACTTCTGTGAATCGCAACACAAACAGATGGATTTCCTTTAACAAACAGAACCAAACCACTCTAAATTAGACTCCAGTACAGCATTAACAGTTCCAACTTTAGGCTGCTGAACACTCCTTTTCCACTTCAGTGCAGCGTAGGAAGAATAGCACACGTTAAAAGTTTGTTACGAAAATAGAGTTTATTAAAAACACATCCCTATTGTTTTGAGGAGCTTTCACCGTTACCTTTTCTTAAATTAAAAAAAAAATAGAAAGCACTTCTACTTCTGATTCGTAAACTTTTTAAAGTCAAAACTTTAAAAAAGTTACAGCAAAAATGGGTAATATTTTAATCATCTCTTCAGTATTTTATGTTATGTTGTGGCTATTTTAAATAGAAGGGAAGCAATCAAATTGCTCACAGTGCCCCACGTCGGGGGCGCAGGGGCGGAAGCGGATTTACAGCACTGTACAACTAAAGCTCGACACTCCAAGCCAGGCTGCGGCCCTAGCGCGGTGCCTCCGCCACGGAGCCCGTGTCCTTGTCCGCCTGTTCCAGGGATGAGGTAGCCTCGGGCACCGACTCTGGCGTGGCTTTCGCGCCCGCGGGTTCGGCGTCTCCCGCAGTGAGTTCTGAAACAAGTTCCGCGCCCTCCATTTTGCTGCCGTGGGACTCGTGGTTTTTGTCGCCCTCCGCCCTGTCTGTCACCTCTGGCTTTTCCTTGCCGCGGCTTTCTTCCTTGTCTCTACGAGACTCGCGATCCCTGGAATCCCTCTCCCTGTCTCGGTGGCCGCTGGAGCGCCTGTTTCTTTCCTCCGAGTCCCTGTGCCTGTCGCGCTCGGGGCTGCGGCGTCCCCAGTCTCGCCTGTCGCGGCTGCCCAGCCGCTCATGCTCCCGCTCCTCGCGGCTGCTGTAGCGCTCCCGGTCGTTCTCTACCCGGTTCCCGAAGGATCTCCTCCCGAACCGCTCCTGGTCTCTGTTGGGCGTGAACTGCCTGTCGTTCCTGAACTGCCGCCCGTCCCTGTTCTCCTCGGGCCCGCCGCTGCCCGGGCCGCCGCTGGGCCGCACGAAGTGGCCGGGCGGAGGGAAGGGGGTTTTCATTCCGTGCGGGGGAGGCATCCCGAAGCCGCCGGGGCCTGGCGGGGGCCCTCTGTGCATCATGTGCGGGGGCATGTGGCGCGGGGGCATCATGGGGAAGCGCGGCAGCGGCGGCGGCGGCGGCATCCCCGGCGGGCGCTGCAGCGGGATCAGCCCGGGCCGGGCGCCCAGCAGCCCCGTGGATGGAGTCTGCAGCCCCACCACGGGCGCGGGCGGTGGCGGGGCCACGCCCTGGGTGCCTGCAAGGAACACACAAAGGACAGTCAGAGCCGGGCAGGAGGGGACACAGAGCGTTTCCCTAACTTCAAACACCGTCTGCAGTTATCCCGGGAAAAGAGCACCGCAGGACCTGGAGCAGAGCTTCCTGGGCTCTCCAGCTGCTGGCGGCAATGACTGTGACCAGGGCAGCAACTAATCCCTGATCCCAGAGGTTTCCTTGGGGAGAGCTTTTGCCCTTGTGCAGTCAGGGCTCCCCCCCAGCCCCAGCTCAGCCTCCTGCAGCCAAAGCCCCTTCCCGGTGTTGTGCTTCCAGGTGAAGGTACCTCACCCGCTCCAGTCGGATTCAAACACTTCCTTCTGCTATGAACACTGGCTGAACACCCCACAGCTGCACAGCAAGAGGCAGGGAGGAGGCTGGAATACAGCTGGAGCACAGCTCTCTTTGCCATTCCAGAGAAAAGGGACACAACGAAAATTCATTTCAGTAGAACAAACCTTTCAATGTAAACTAAAAGGAAATGCAAGAAGTAGTTCCTAACTTCTTTTTTTTTATAATAGTGTTTCATCCTCTATAGCACATATCCAGCACTATTTTACAGTTTTATTCCTATACTCTTCATAGGAGGAAGAAAAACTCCCTCTCCAAACTTACTATAAGATAAAGCTCAGTCCACAGCTCCTGGACACCAACAGAAGGAGCCAGAGGGAAGGATTCTGAGGATTCTGAGAAGAATTCTAAGCTCCATGCTGAGGCCTTCCCACCCCAGGGCAGGTGCCTCCCCAGTCTGAACCAGGAACACTGTCCAGTGTTCCCAGAGCCCTCACACTGCTCCCATGTGCTCCTGCACACCAGCACCTCCTGGCCTAGAAACACAGCCCCTGCCTGGGTAAAACCAGGATGAAATACTGTGGGAATTCACGCTGGAATTAGTGTCAGCAGTGAAAACTGCACTTGAGTGCAGCCACATGAGATGCTCTCCTTCAGCTGCTGTGGTGTTCGTCCCTCCTTTCTCTGGTTTTGGCACCTGTCTCCAGACAGAGCTGAGCCTTCTGTGCTGCCCTCTCACCACACAATGACTTTTAGGGACATCTCTGACAGAAACCTTTTCACCTGAGTGCTCTTTAAATTCATACTGGAAAGAAGTTGTATTTTGCCAGTGAGAAGACTCATGTGACATCTTCCAGTCCATGATATCCTCTCCCCCTCCCCTCCAAGCAGTCACAGCTCTCCCTCTTGCAGAGAAATGGGCCAGTACCAACAGCATTTTTTTCCTGCATTTTTCCCTTTCTCTAAAATGCAGAGCCTGGTCAATAACCAGGTCTATAATCATCCAGTTTAAACTCCTCCTGTGACAGAACTACAGATCTGACAAGACAGACTCAGAGCTAATGATGTCTACCAGGAATTCTGAGGTTTGGGGATTCTTATTGGTAAAAACATCTTTTAATCTTCCTCAGAGGATTAAAACAAAGCAGACTAGAGTAACTGAGAACTAAAGAGCTGAAGCTAAGCCTGGGCTTCTACTTAGAAGCAGCAGAGCAGATGTGGGTTAGAAGAGCATGAACATGAGGTGAGGGAGGGAAGTTTCACATCTAATAAGTACAAGTAGTTTAATTTCTCAACTTTATTTCTACACAAACTGCAGCACTGAAGCAACATAATTGTACCTGGAACTCCTTCATTCTGAACTGCATTGGCTGGAGAGCTGCACACTTTTTATTTTAAAATTATTTTAAATATCAACTCCCTTCAATGCTGAGATTAAAGCAACTGTAGAACTACTGGAGGTTCCTCACTCTCCTGACAAATCAGGCACCAAATAAAAACCTAAACAGCTGTCCAGAAACACATCCCAGTTTACTGAAAATGCTCAGGGAAATTCACAGTACAGAAACACCATGTTTTTGTTGGGGAGAGTTAAAGTCCTCTTTTGGTTTAGGAAGTACTTGACATTGAAGTAGTTTCTTGAACTGGGTATGAACTCCCTGAGCTCCGAGAGAAACCCTGAGGTGATTTCCTGACCCAGCTTGTCCTACTGGAGACAGTTCCCTCACATCTGACACCTGCTCCTCTGTCCCAATGTGCAAAACCACACCTTGCCTTCACAACAGATTTTACAGGTTTTGGAGGAGGAACCACCACACACCAAAGTGTCCCAGGGTTCAACACCTGACTCCTGTGACACAGCCCAAAGTGCTCAGCCTGACCTGAAGGATCTTCTGTGCAGAGACGGCACAGGGGCCATCCTTACTGCTTTGATAAATTAGGTATGAAGCCAGATTTCCATGTCACTGTGATTCAGATCTGATCATCTCTCCCAGCTGGACAAAACCTACATTCCCTTGGGATAATTCCCATGTCACCAGTGCTGACACACCTGATTTACTCTTACACAAACTCTGCTCACTAAGTGGTTCCAGTAACTCACAACCCCCTGAATCACTTCCCAGCACATGGAGCTTTGTGGTTTCTGTGTGTCCCAGCACACAAACCTCACGGAAACACAGGGAACAAGCCAAAAGCTCATGGATCTAGCAGGGTTTCATTCCACTTTGACACTGCTGTTCTCCAACATTCTGCATGCTCTCCGGTGGGGAATGTGGCATCTTACAGCTAGAGCATTAAATACTGCCAGGGAATTCTTGAGAGAGGGACCACGTTGTCATTCTGGAGGGTTTTTGCTGGAGTTTTCTACAGAATCTTTCAGAGCCTCATACATTCCAAAAGCCAGGAATATGAAGTACAAGTTATGCTGTCCAAGACAATGAAAGTGTGTGCTACCTTTACAGAAAGTGTCATTCAGCAGGAAGGTGTGCATTTCTAAAATTCCTAACAAAATTCCCTGACTCCATGGTGTCAGCATAGAGTTTCTTAAGCTTTTCTCTGTTTTGAAAGGGTCTTCTGTCAAGTTTTCAACATGAAGGATTCATAAAGCATTAATCATGGACAGAAAATTTGGCCCTCACATCCAATAGAGCAATGAGCTCTCAGGGAGACAAATCTCGTATTTTCTTCAGTGATCATTGAAAATGTTGGGCAAAAACCCACTAACACAAAATTAGCTTTTTCATTCATTTCTTAGGCTCTCATGTAGAGGCTTAAAATCCCATAAATGCAATAATCTCACTAGAATTTTAGGTAACAAATCTTTTGAGTAAATTCTTGACATTGACCTATCCAAGGCCATCATAAAATAAGTATTTAGCAGAGTTCTGTAACAGTTCATACTCCCTTTCTAAATCTGACCAAGGTTGTATCATATTAGGAAAAGTAATTTATGCAACCTACTCCCATTACCCTGGGTTTGCTAGTCAAAAAAGCATTTGGTAATATTTAAATAATATTGTCTTACAAAGGTTTCAAAACCTGTCCTGCTGCAACGCTGCATAAAAGGTTTTGGTTTTGTGTTCTATTAAAACAATTTATTCCATACATAACAAGAATGTACCCCATCCTCAGAGATTTCAAAAATAAACTAAAAATAGTTTCCCTGCACGTTAATTTTATCTAATAGCTGAGTCTAAAACCTGGGTCCTGTGTCATACAGATGTGTTGCTGTAAGTTCCATTTTCTAGACTGTATAAACCTTCACTTGTTAAAAGTGGACAGCATTTGAATTTGTAACTTACACATCATGGCTTTGATTCTTCAGAAAGCAGATCTTCACTAGTAAAATTATTGACTGTTTCTTCTGTGCAAAATTAAGTCTTTAAAACTGATTTCAAAGCCAACAGTAGGACAGAAATTTCAACAAGTTGACAAAAATGTGCTTCCCTTTCCCCTGGACTATAAGTCAGTAGCCAAATCAAAATGGCATTTAAAATGTAGGGAACAATGAAGTGCAGAACTTACTCAAGAGGGAACTTACCAAGGAGTGGAACAGCCTGGGTGACAGGAGCAGGGACATTGGTAGGTGCTACAGGAGGTGGAACAGTGCCATAGATTTTGGAAGTGTCAGTACTTTCAGCATTCCCTCTGCCTCCAGAAACTACTGTTGGGATGGGATTTCCTACAGACGACTCCTTTGTAGTGTCCTCATTCCCACCTGTTGCTGTAGCTGAGGAACAAGGCATGGACACATTAAACAACAGCCAGCAATTCCTGCAGGATCCCTGCCTTCCACAGGGCCCAACACTTACAGTTTGGGATGTTCACTGCCGGAGTGTGTGGGACAGAGACCGGAGGAGTTATGGGAGGTGGTGGCCCGGGAGGAAGGAATCCTACAAAAAGCACAGCAAAGCCCTGAGTGCCCCCTTGGCACAACCCCCCGCGCAGCTCTGGGCCCAGCAGGACCCGGGCAGGCACACCCCACAAACCTGGAGGTAAATGCAGCGGGTTGAAGCCAGGCCGGAGGAATGGAGGCGGTGGTGGCGGTGGCACCCCGGGGGCAAATCCAGGAGGGGGGATTCCTAAAGGTGCTGTGAAAGCAGGGGGCTGGAGTGCACCAACCACGGGAGGCCCTGATGGATGGGGGGGAACCTAGGAAAAAGGAAGGGAAAACATGGGTTAGCCCAAGAGTGCTCCAATGATTCTCTGTCCCACTGGAGAGCTCTATCTCTGTCCAGCTCCACCAGGAGATCGCAGCGATCTCAAATTCCTCTGCAACAAGGGGCACTTGCACAAAAGATGCAGAAGCACTCCAGGAACTGCCATCATTGAAAATACCAACACTAGCCCTGTCTGCCTTTGTAATCAGAGAAGAATTTTCCTCTGTGCCTCATGGGTACTAATGCGTGTCAGTAACCCACCTCCACGCACCCCTCACACAGTGCCTGGGATTCATTTGTACCCAGCATGATGGATTTCTGGACAGAATCTACTAGAATGCTCACAACTTCAGAGCAATTAAAAACGTCTGCTTGTCTCTTTCTCACTACCTGAGTTTGCACATTAGTGTGACCGGTGTTTTCCTTTATTTCTGATTTATATCAAGCTCTGAATTAAAATTAGCTGTGATTTAAGGGATTCTACTATTTAACACTGACAAGAAACTACTGATATCAAAGTGGTGGAGTATCTGCCAATAAGAAAAACTTTTAGAGGAACATTAATTAATAAAACAAATAACAAAAAAAAGCCAATCACAAAATCTGAAAATGCAATTCAGCCCTTCTGTAACAAAAATTCTATTGCAGTAATTTCTCTGTGACTGAGAGAACAGTTACCATTCATGGCATTCCCTCCCTCCCTGAATTATTATTTAAAGTGAGTTTTTGTTTGTTTCTGTGGAACAACTCTCACCTGTGGAGGAGGTACTGTTATTGGTGCAGGCATGGGAACCGGAATTGGGACAGGTAAAGCTTTGGGAATGGGTGACACTGGTTCATTGTGTGCAGCTTCTGCACCTCCATTCTGAGCCACTTCATTTTCAGACTTCTTGGGAATTCCCTTCCACTCTGTCCAAAACAAAATCCCAACACACACGGGTCAGAGAAGCAGTGCCACGTGAAACATGCTTAGTCATGTTTACAAAAATGACCTAATTGAAAACACTCAGGTAATAAGCAGCACAGAGCTAAGAAGCATTTATACTATTTCAGACAATAAAACCTCCAAATTCATTTAAATACAGCAAACACTGAAACAGCAAATAAACTTGTTCCTTTCAGTAGTCAGTTAACAATCCTTTGCCCTGACAGTGTTTATACACATCCAGGATTCTGTTACATTATCTGTGACAAAAACTGTAAAGCTCTTTGAGACAAGCTTTCAATAGGTTCATTCTATTGCTCTTGGGCAAGAAGGCAGCAGCTTTGTCACTAATTTGAGAACTCATTTCTAAAAAACCCAACATCTTCAAGTTTCAAACAAGGAAAAGGAGAATACAACTATAAAGAATTGCAGCAAAATAACAAAAATGTCAAATATAGCTTTAAATTTAATTTATGGAAGAAATAGCTCCTATTGTCTGTCAAATCTTCCTGGGAAAAGCCAGCTAAGCACAAAGAGGGATCAGTGAGGGGGAACTCTAGGAAAGAGAAAAGCACTGAGAGGACTGGAACACACTGACATTATGTTCATGATTCATTACATTTTCGTTTAAAACACACAACTGATTTTTGTGTGTTCAGTATGAAGAGATGCTACAATTAGAGCATATATACAATAATCACCAGCTAATTGGGCAAACTGCACAAAATGGCCAAACCCTGAAATAAAGGCTCAATAACAAAACATGCGGTAACATTGTACCTGGACTAAGGGTCTCGTTGTCCAGCATTCCTCCTTCACAGAAACTTTCAAGATCTTCAGGTTTGACTTTGTCCCATGGGATGTAAGTCACACCCAATTCTACATCCCAATACTGCTTGTAGTCTGGCTTTATTCCTTTATTCAGAGCCCAGGCAATCTTGGGGTGGGGGGGAAATACAAGTGGTCAGTAAAATTTTTCAATTTTAATGGATTTAACATTTCATTCTCACATAACAGCATTTGAGGGTAAAAAGTAAAAAGCGTAAGTGAAACAGCTATGAAACTCTGAAGGAAGTTTGTTTTTTTTTTTAAGACTTAATTCCTATTTCTTGGCTTGACTCTTGCACACCATTTGTAAAAATGTATAAAGGCAGCTTCTTCTGATGATCTCCAGCCACTAAGATTAATTCCATTTTCCTTTGGAGGACAGTGTCACACTAATTTGACATTCTACAGAAGGAAGAACTTCACTAATGAATGCACATTTCCTTATTTATTAGTACTCTGTAGGATTATCATATGTAATGAAACTCTGTTAGGAGACAAATAACTGGCAACAAGAAACACACACTGCCAGTCCCCTGTAATGAGCCAAATGACACCCTTTCTGTTGATTAAAGAGATAATTATTGGCAATCTTTCAAGGAAACTGATACAAAGTTCCATTAATCCCACTACAGACCAGGAACAATAATTCCCCAGAACCAGTTCACTGGTGTATTTTTTCAGGATTTTACAGAATATCATCTCCAGAACACGTATGAGTCTGAAATACCCCAAAGGCCAGCACAGATGAGACAGGATGACGGTAATTACAGCAGCTTTGGAAAGGCTGACATTTCCAAGCATTACCTTGATGGATTTCTGGTTGACTTTGAAGTTGCCTCGGCTCAGTTTCTGGAGGGCTCTATTGGCATCTTGTCTGTGCACCATGACAATGTAGGCACATCCTCTGGGTGGTATCATCTGTGTGGGGTTTGAGGGAAAAAGTTCATTTTGCAGTAACAAACAGTGAACCACACATGAATGCTCAATTACAGCAAGCTGGGACATCAAAGGGTATTCCAAAAAGGGCTGTGGAAGTATTGAAGGAAATATTAAAGATGCTAAGAAAGCCAGCACCTTCTAGAAATTCACATTCTAGTGAACTGAAACTTCCACAAGTTCTGAAAACTTCCAAAACTCTAAAATACAGCTGACTTCTGCATATTTAATCCTTTTAAATTCCTAAACAATAGTGTTCATGTAAATTCTAACATTTGGCAATTAGTTACTTTGTTGGAATGCACAACAGTATCCCCCTCCACTCTGCCAGCTGCACCTCCACATTCAGTTCTAGCTGCAGATTTGGAATAATTTTTATGTGTATTGAATTTGAGGAAAAAACTCCTATGCTCTTTTACAAAATTTGGGAATAGGAAGAAAATTAGTCACTTATTTTTGTTTGAATGAATGAAATTTTTGAAGTTACTGGAGCAGCTATAAATTATACATAAAATATCCTTAAATACAGCAAAATAAAACAGTAATTCTCCATGTTTACGGCTAAAATGACAGAAGAGCAACAAGAACACCAGCTGAGAGTCCACGCTCCTATAATCAAATAAAATGAAGCAGCCAAGGAACTCAGAAGCATGGGATGTAATTCTGCAGCCATCATCCTGCAGAGAAAGCAGGATTTTTATGAAAATGGGATAATCTTCTGTATTACTCCACGAGCACTTTTGTACTGCAGGAAACCAAAGCAGCTCTCTTCTTGTTTGTGTACAAGTCAGCCACATGATCTGAGTGCCCACACGGAAAACACAACGCATAGGGAATGAGAGGCCAGCTCTTTGGAATGTATCAGAAATAACTCTGCCCCAGAGCAGCCCAGAGAGATGTTTTGTACCCAAGCATATCAGAGCAGCTTACACTGCACCCCTTGTACTCACATTGATGGACTCAATGGGGCCAAACTCCTCCAAGAGACTTCCCACATCCTGCTGAGTTGTCCTTTTGTCCAGCTGTCCTACCCAGAGTGTGGTACTGCAAACTACAACCAAGAGTTAGCACAGGTGGTCAGAGCTTCTTACAGCACAGATAACCAACACCTATCCCATGCTGAATCCAGCGTAATAACCAGGAAAGGAGCTCAAGGTACCCCCCAGGCAGCAGATTACTGCAGCAGCATTGATCATTCACACAGGTTTTCCACCTGAGAGATTCAGAACTGCAAACTTTGACAGCCAACGTGACAGAACCTGGGAAAGGTGTTGGCAGAAGCACATCTCACTGCACTGCCAGGGAGCTTCTGGTGAGCAGCTACCAGAGTTCTGCAGGCCTTTACACCCCTGGGACCATCACTCACCAGGCCTTGGCTCTTGAAACACCTCAGGTTTTTGTCTCTCTTATATAAGCAAGAATGTTTTTATTTTACTTGATAATCCTGGAGAAGATTCCACACTCCTAAGGAATATTCGGAAGTTAACTACTATGCTTGGTCTATGAACGTTGGCAAAGCCAGGATTATATCAGAAATCCAAACATCAGCCTGTGTGTTTTCCAGGTCAAATCTCCCGTTCTGGTTGGAGAGATACACAAGACTGAATATTTAGAAAAATTGTATTAATTTACAATTAACTCAAATCCTTTTTGTTCAATCTGCTTTACCTTATATGTCTCAAAGGAAGGAAAAGAAAAACACGGAGTTTCAGCTTTTCCTTTTCTCATTTTACAGCCAAAATATTTCTAACTTGGAGATACTCCAGAAATACTAAACCATCTACTGTAAGTAAAGAAGTACAGGGAAGTGTGGTGAAATTCCTACCAGGAATCACAAGACAGTTAATTTCTGTTCTGTTTGGATGAGCCAGGGAAACCACAAGAAGGAGCACTGAACCCAAGGAACACAAAACCCATGAAAGCGTCATTACAGGAACGTGCGGAGCGACCCAAAGCAGCAGGAAGAGAGGAGACTCACCGCTGACGGTCTCTGCCTTGATCTGGGGCAGCCCCTTGGAGCGGCGCTCCTTCTCCCGCTCACGCTCGCGCCGCTCCTGGGAGCGGGACTTGGGCGAGCGCCGGCGCCGGTCCCGGGAGCGCGAGCGGGAGCGGCGGTGCCGGGAGCGGCGCGAACGCGAGCCCGACCGCGAGCGTCTCCTCTTGGGGGACCTGTCAGAACCAGAGCCACGCGTGCTCAGTGTCTGGCACCCCGGCACTGGCACGCAGCCTTGGCTATAAAATACCCAAAGAGTTCCCTCAGTAAGGGAATACAGCAATCCAAGCTCTTTCACAGGCATTTAGAACCACAGTAAATCACTGCAGCAGCCCACTTGAACAGCTGATTACTTTCCCATTTCTCACAGTTTACTAATTTTACTTGAAGTTGACCATCAAAACTGTGTCCACTTCAACACAGAGAAAGTTATACCTGTATCAATGAGGCAAATGCTTACTGCTTTTACAAAGAAGTGACTAAAGATTATTATAAATAAATTTTGCTACTGAAATTGTATTTTACATCATGTTCAAGTTCTAAACCACTCCAGGTGTGGAAGACCTTCAGAGAAATCATGTGGAGCTTGGTGAACAAGTTGACTTGCAACTAAATGAAGAGTGGCGCCACATCTGCTTGGTCAGCTGAGATGTGACACACGGGTTCAGTGACACATAAAGTCACAGATCACAAATGTTTTCATAAGAAAAATGCTTTTAGAGCACAAGCAAATTAAGCCATTACATTCTGCCTCCCTAAAATTTACTCTGGACTGAAAGGCATGGAAGTTGCTCTCTCCCAGTGAGAGAGAACTGCACAGATATCATATTTCCCCTAGAAGGGAGATGGCTTTAGAGGTTCATTATCTTAGAGCTGCTAATCCACTTTTCATTCCTGCACTAAAAGAACTTTCACTCATTTACCTTGATGCAGATCTAGATCTTGATTTCCTACTGTCAGAAACATGTCGCTTTCCCTCCTGAATGGGTGGCTGTTCCACTTCGACATCCTAAACAGTGAAGTTGACAGGTAGTATGGGTGAGCAGGACAAGCATTTTATTTCTTTTTATTCTCAGACTAAATTAACAGCACTGAAAATCTATTGAATATTTAAATGTGTGAAATTAAAGAATAATGTGACTCCAAAGCTTCACTCTGTAGTCACTAGAAGGGAGAGGGTCCAGGATTGCATGTACATAATAACACAGCCACTGAAACGGCACCATAGAAATAATTTACACAGTTCCCATTTTCAATTTGCAAATTATTGGTTTTCCACATTTCACCCCGTTTCAGCAACACCTGCATCTCCACAGAATATGATTTTATTCCTTAAGATCAGTCAGTGGATCAGTGGATCATGCTCCATCATCAAAATCCCAGGTAAAGTGAGATCTGCTGCAACTTTTCCCCAAGATGTTATAAGAAACTACTTTAAGCCTGAATTATGCTGGAGACAGTAAAGGGTAAGTCCTGGAGCCTTCCAACTGTCTCCCAGCAGAATCAGCCTCACAGCCAGTTGTGTCCTGGTTATCTTTCTTTTCCTGCTCCAGGACAATCCACACACATTCGGGAAAGACCTGTAGGACGCCATTTGAGTCGGTCTGTTCACTGCAAGGGCTGCTCACCTGCTGGTGGGGTTTCTGCAGGTGTGGCTCGGCCTGGACTGGGAAGGGAGACTGGAAAGTTGGCTGCACTGGCGCTGCTGGAGGCATCACTGGCTGAGCCATGGGTGGGAACTGGGGGGTAGGCAGGAGACCAAAACCTGGCATTTGCCCATTCGGAGGAAGCGGCACCTTGGGAGAAGAAAAGACAACAGAATTCCAGCTAGGAGAAGGAATTACATTTGCTTTCCCAGCAGGCTCAAGTAAAGTTTTATGTCTGCTCAAAAGTAACAACAAAAGATGGGGGAAAGATGAAGCAGGCCGAGCATTTGGGTGCACAAGTAACGATCTTGTCCTTCAATGCCTGACTAGGACAGACACCAGAAATGTGTTTCTTTGGGAAGATGGAGGGCTAAGCCACATTCACTCTCCACCAGCAGGAAAATCACTTCATTCCTGCTGCACCAAAGAAAACAGCAAAGGATGGAAAACACAACAGGGGGACAAGGGAAAAGCCTGGGGTTACCTGGTGCCGCATCGGATCCTGCTGCATTCCCATCATCCGCTGCTGGAAAGGATCCATATTTGGGAGCTGAGGAAATACTGGCTGTTGCATGCCTTCTCCTGGAAACCCACTAAAACCAGGAATATTTTGGTGAGTCAAGTCAGCAGATGCACAGATCTGTCTTTATTTTACAGATTTCTAAGCACATTTACAAATTCTTGCTGTTATTTTAGACAGAACAATTATCTTTACTATGATCCCGTTTCCAATAAAAACAGAAAAGGAAGAAAGAGTGGCTTCCTGATCTTTTCTCCACTCTAAGAGCAGCCCTTTCACATTTAGAGAAATGCTACACAAAGATTAGAGCCTCTCTTGCCCCTGTACTTATGCTGAAGATCTCAGCCTACAGAAACATTTCAGGAAGGTTTTCTGCCTTAGGCTCATTCTCTTCCTTTGCAGTTCCTCTTTTGGGAACAAAAGAAGCAGTGCTTTTCTCCTCAAGGAAAAGAAACTGGTTGTACTTTTGCTGTAAGAAAACACTTTGATTTGGGAGGAAATAGAGCAGAGTAGAAGGGGGTGGGTATTAAACCAGGTTTAGTAGAGTGATGCCCATCACTTCCTGATTCAACACACAGAATGGACAGTGCTCAGGGAATTCTGGAGGTCTGTAACAGGTAACAGGACCTGCTTGCAGATTGCAGCCTGTGCATGAAACTCAGCAATTAAAAAAAGCAATTTGATGGTGATGAGAAATGGAACTTTCCAATGTCTGAAGACAATTCTGAGAAGATTCTGGACAGATCAGTATTTTACAGAGAGAATTACTGCGCTTGCATGCCCCAGACTGGGAACACTGGAATGCCACCCTCAGGGACACCTTGCACAGCTGTGAGGCACTAAGGACAGAGGCCCTGAAGCACTACCTACAGAACATAACATGACCACAAGCCTCCAGCTGGGCAGACACAAGCAGTGCCTATGACCTACCTCATCTTTCTGTACTCCAGAGCTCCACCTGCATTCTAAGGCAAATACTATCCATTTCCTTCAGAGACCCCTAAATGAACTACTACTGGTGGACAAAGTGCTCGAGGTGAGAGACACAGTCAGAAAGCTGATGACAGAGTTAGTGCTTCTGGTTTTGAGAGCAGGGTTTAGATGCAGATACAGAGAGTAAGACATGGGGCCACATACTGAAGCAGGGAAAAAAGAAATATGGACTAACCCCGGCATTGAGCACCATCCAGCCTGTGCACTGAATGAGAGAGAGGTCCTGTGGAAAAAACTGGGATGTGGTCATGTCATTCCAGACTTTATCATAATGCATAGCAGAAGGGAAACAGGAGCCTGTGCTCGCTTGTGTGGGGACAGAATGTTTGCCAACATAAAACTGTAAAGCCAATTTTCCTTTCTTGAATACTATAAACTATCACAACGTTTGGAATAGCAACCTTTCCCCAGCCAGTAAAGCAATCCAGCTGATCCAGTGATGCCCTGACACCCTCAGCTGTACTGTAAAAACATGGAACTCATCCTGCAACCAAAACTGAGTTTTTCTCTACAGAAGACAGTCCTCCATCAGTGAGGCAAGAGATCTACACCAGATCACTGAGTAACGAGGCACAAAAATCACCCCACCAAAAACTGTTAACAGTGTTTTAAATTTGGACTGTAGCAGTTCAACAGTAAACTAACTTGGAATTTTCATCTACTTTCTAACCTAAAAATGTTTTAGGACATTTCTTAGTTTTATTATGACACAGAACTTACAAAGCTGGCTGAGACACTGAAGGGGAAGGAGCTGAATCTTCTTTCTTTGCATCTTCCACAGCTTCTGGTTCATCATCGTAGTCAAACCGATCTAGCAGCTTCTGAAAGAAACCACATCAGGACAACTATTTTTTTTGTATCTTACCCAACTGGCAGCCAAAATATCTTTATTATCACATTCTTACAACCGATGTAAGCTCTGAAACTAAAGACAAGGTTAGAATTGGGGAAAATAGAAACATATATAGCAATACAAAATAAAAATTGTCCAAAACCAGATTTCTTCAGCTTCAGAAAATGCAAACCAAGACTTACTTTGTCAAATGATGTTTTCTGTTCAGGTGCTGTGAAAGCAGCTTTCTGCTCTGTGGGCTGTGCTGCTGTGGTTTTCAGCTGAGCAGTAATAGCTTGAACCTGAGCCATCACAGTGTTGTCTATGACCGGTGACTGCGGCTTCTGAGGCTGTTGGAAGGTCTGTAGGATTTGCTGGAGCTACAGAAACGTGAGACAGTATGACGTGAATGTCCTCATATAAACACCAAGTATTGAAAGAGTTGTAGGATATAAATTTTATGTCAATACAGACTGTAGCAGGGGATGAACACAGCAACTACCTGACTGAACTGTGGAGCACTTAAGAGCAAAACCACGAGTCCCTCTTTAAATACTTTGGTGGCAAAATTCAGTAGATCCCAACATTGCAGTGTTCAGGTCCTTCAACACAGCAAACATTTAAATGGACTGAACAACACACTTCCTAATTTTCTTTGAGATACTCCACCTGTTCCAGAAACCCTGTAACTGCATCAATTCGTAACTACTTATTTAAGAACATAAAACTGAGTATCATCAAATATCACAACTATTGGATGGAAGAATTTAAATACTCTTTCCCACTGAAGACCTTTGGGAAGCTCTTTTGCCTCAAATCCAGGCTATCAATCCCAACATTTCCCCCTAATTTCACACAGAAACTGAAGGGGATCAGAGAGCAGGTTACCTGTTGTCCTTGTGTTGTCTGGAACAACTGGGCTACAGCTGCAAAGGCATCAGAGCTGGGCAGCTGCGGCACGGCGGGCACCGAGTTCGCGGCCACTTGCGGGGGCTCCGAGGGAACCTTGGCCGGAGGGGGCGGCGAGCCTGGGGGTTTCCAGGAACACAGGAAAGGCTGTGTGACTCCACAACGTCCCTCTTGCTCCCCACAACAAGTGTCTGCTGCCTGCAATCTCCTGTTTATCCCAAAAGGGTCTATTTACAGCACCCCAGCTGCATGTTCTGTTCGTTCTGCCACGAACTGCTCTGCTCACTGCTCACACCTGCACTTGGGATGCACTGGAACAGAAAAGCTGGTCCCACACGGAATTTTAGCTCCCAGCTCCATGTTTACTTTGTGCAGGTTTAGGAAAGCTCTCACTACTTAAACAGCATTAGGCAATGAGCTTCAATACCCTGAATGTGGTGGCTCTGCTTCCACAGACCTGGGCTCATCCTTTTGGATGAATGATCCAAACCAACCATCTCATGGCTCACTGGAAGAGCACCTGAGTTTCTCTCAGTATTTTCCACCAGTAACTGAACCTTTGCAGAGAAGTCTGGCAATAATTAAAGGTTTTAAAGGATTACTTCAGAGGTAGTTTTCTTAGATAAAGTTTGTTGCATGTGCACACGCCACACCTGCAGCTGATAGATAAATCCTTCCACCAGGAAAATTTTATTTACTCATTTTTCCAGGAAAAGATTCACAATTGTGAAATCACAATTTAAGACATGCTATTAGTGTTCCCATTCTCTCTGCCTTACATTACAACACCTTTTTTAATAAACATCTTGCCAGTACCAAGTAAATTAGCAATAATCCCATCAATTCCTACATACTCTGAGTAAGTATTCTTCAGCAGATCTGTTTTAATGGACATAATAAAGCTGTACAAGAAGTGAGTTAAAAAAAAAAAGACTCCACATACAGAAATATTTAATTTGAAACACTAAACAAACACGTTTGCCTTGCAATAGCAATTCCTTTAAAGTCCTTCCTCTGTTTGCACTTCAAGTAACTCCAGTGTTGACAGGCAGCAAGCACAGGCAAATGTGTTGAATAATACTTTCCCAGAAGTGAAATGCAATATAAAAATAAAGCAAAAAAGTATGTGTTGTTTTTAAATATAAAGTAACTCCCCAATTATTTCCTGTATACATTTAGAAGGATATTTGCTCACTTAAGGGAGAAAATTTGCATTTCTCTCTGTCTTTATGGGTGAAACAGACTCTACTTCACATCATGCATTACTATATTTATTATTATTATTTATTAGCATATTTATTGCAGGGCCAAATTGCCCCCTCTGGTGCATCTGAATAACCTCATTGAAGATCTCTGTAGAAGGCTGCCAACCTGTTCACCACTAGTGCGGAGAGAGAGAGCTGGACAGGCAGTGCCCCTCATTTGTCCCAAAATTCAATTGTACAGCCCCAGGCTTGGATGCTAAGGCATTCCCTGCCACTGCCATGTTTAGAAAACCTTTAATGGGATACACTTCTCTGAACACAGCTGGAGATGATTTCACTGTTTTGCTGTCTCTCACCACACCTCACTCCCTCCATTCCATTTTCCCAGTCCTACTCCATGAGCACAGTAAATAAGGAGGTTACCACAGCTCAGTGTGAAACACGGAGTGCAAAGCCAGAAAACAGCTCTCTGGAGAAAGAAGGAATTGTGGAATGCATATTCCCTGTAACCTCGCTCCCAGCTTTGCTGTGGCACTAAATAGGTCAGTGAGCAGGCTGGCACTGCTGTGCTCTGCAGGTTAGTGCTTCTCAGCCAGCAGCCTGTGCAAAATCCCAGGTACAAATGCTCTGAGAACCTGGGTGTGAAACACCAGTCCAAGACTTTCGGGGCTGCACACTCAAGACACTGACAGCTGCTGCTTTCAGCTACTAAGCTGACCAAAAGGAAAATGAAGCTCTTTGACATCTAAGATCCCACTTACTTACCTGGATTCTGGCACTAAAAAATGACATCAGAATTCTAATATTGAGAAATCACATAAAAATATTTCAAAGCAAAAGAAAAAAAGAGTATCTGTTTAAGAGGGCACACTGAAGTCACCTGTATATATGTAAGTACACATGCATATATACATGATAAACATTTAATATATTTCCCAAGTCAGTATTCACATGCTGATAATTTCTGCAGTATCAGCACTTATTTAAAATTAGTTTGGCTGCTCATTGTGACAAAGCTGACTTTATTGCTATGTCACTGCTGGAACTAAGAGCAAGCACTTTCTGCTGAAAGCAAACAAGCTGTTGCTATGTGCCGTTTGAGAGCAGAAGTTAAAATGTCATCCCTACCTTCATTGTTAGTAGCATTCTCTGCCATGGGTGCAGTGGCACTGGTTCCTGCTGCCATATCCAAGAGAGGCTGAATTATTTCAATTTTAAATACTCCGTTTTTCTGCCAGAGGTTCAGAACACGAACTATTTTACTCTGTTGAAACAAAAGGAAGCACCAACGCTGAATCCAGATTTCTTAAGTCACCATTTTATCTTCTGCATGCAGAGAAGGTTTGTACACCATGTGACATAATCACACCAACTTAACAAACCCTGAGTCGTGACAGAGGGCAGCAACACCTTTGAACTAGCAAAGATAAAAACTGCCAACTTGTTTTACTGTCAAACCAATCTGTGACATTTCCCTAAAACTCTTCTGGCCAGTCAGAAATCCAGGTGTGATTTACAATCCAGGACACCATTTCAGCCCCATGTCTACAGAGGTGGTCCCAAAGGGACGACACAACCAATCCACATGAACAAAAGAGAAAAGGAAGATGAGCTGAAAAGCCTCCCTGAAAAGACAGGGACAGTTAGACCAGAAAATGTTACCACAACACTTTGAAGTCAGTTTGAGGGTTCCTTGCTTGGTATTACTAACCCAACCAATTCTATGTTGACCAGAAACTGCATCTCCATCATTATCTGAAAGACGAGGAAAGCAACAAGGAAACATCCTCACTGATGACTGCGGGATTAATTTAGAATCTCTGATTGTCAGCTGTTATTTTAAGCCTTTTTTTTTTTTTTTGACATGAAGAACAATGCAGATCCCAGAACAAGCTGGAAATTGGCCTTTCCTTCTTTAGCCCAGCATTCAAACAAAAATGTCTCAGTACTGTGCTGTTTCAGCTGGAACATGCAAGCAGGTAGAAGGCAGAGCACATGTTGTATTGCTGTCCTTCCTGCAGACTTAGTCATTCACATGCACACATATAAGCTTTAAGTACCTTTTAGTTCAAATGAACTGATTCTGTTCTTTCATTGTGACTCAGTTATATACACCCATGTAAATCCACCTCTAAGTGATTAAAGAATTTTACAAAATGTTTGCTAAAATAACATCCATTACAGAGAAACTCCAAATGTCTATTTTTAAGTAACATTTTGGTCTGAAAAACAGTTAACTTTAAAACAGCAGCATTTTTTTATTGCGTTGGGTATTCTATCTCTCCACAGAACTTTAGAATCATATAAAGGCCAAAAAATGGATTAAAGTTATACTCTCATTTTCAGTAACATATTAATTTTATAGAAAGGCTGTTTTTAAAAACAAAAGGTACCATCATTATCCTCTTCAGAGATCCCCTACAATTGTTGAGAATCTGCAGATCAGGATACTTTTTTTTTTTTAAGGAACCAGAAATTCATTAAAGCAAGTGTGTTTTAAATAATAATGTTCCCTATTTCAAGTAGCTCCATGAAGGAGATGGAGAGTCTCATTCACTCAGATGAACAAAATGGTAATGGAGAAACAGAAAGGAGAAGGGATTGCTCTCTTTCACAGGCTATCAACCCAGGAGCTCCCAAATACCAGATTCAATGACTGAATGTCTAAATGTTCCACATTAGATAACTAGAGAGCATCAAACCCTTTCCAAAGCTTACTTGGAGAGTTAGGGAGGAAGCCAGGTAGAAAAGGAGTATTTCACAAGGAACAAGGGAGTAGGTGATTTTCTGGAAACCAACTGGCAGCCTCCAGAACACACTGTTTTTGGGAGTGTGTTTGGACAGAAGTCAGAAAAACCATCTTCCCTGGACTGTCAGGAATTCACACCACTTTCTGAGTGTCTGTTCTACTAAAAAGTTCAGCAGAACTAAGAAAAATTAGGCCTTAAGACCAGCCCTGACAGTGGTATGGGAATGGAAAAGACTGAAGAAAACAACATCACGATTTTTTTAGAAAACATTTCTGAGCAGAACAGTCTCTGCCTACAAAACCAAAGCTTCTCCTGCAATGCTTTCTTGTTGTGGCAGACACTGCCTTCCAAAGGAAGTTCTGAAGGAACCTCAAGAAGGACTTTTGGCACACATACACACACTGCTGAAGTGTCTGCATAGGCAAAACAAAACTGATGAGATCAGGCAAAATACATTTTAACCTGAATTTTCATTTAACTGTCACGTTTGATAACCCTCAGCAGCAGTCACTACCAGGGTCAGAGAGACCCCCCCAAATCACTGCCACAGGAGTGCAAGCACCAAGGCAGCACCCCATCAATGCACAGCAACACCTGAAGGGCTCGTCCTACCTTGTCTTCAGATGGACACAGATACAAATACTGGAATGTGGCAGTAATATTCTTGGAGAACCTTGGCCCAAAGACATCCTTGTCTGTTCCGAACTGGTGCCGGGACTGGCGGACGATGGAGTCGATGACGTACAAGCCTGGCACTTTGTACTCTGGCTTGCACTGCAAACAGCACAGAGACCCTGAGTCAGGCAGGGGGGGAGCCCCCTCAGAGCCCCCCTGCAAACCCGCTCTGGGACTGAAGCACTGCTCTGCACCCCAGTCCCTTCCTCTTCCTGCCCAGGCATGAACACTGCATCCCCTGGAAATACCTATTGTCTTAGTGGCGATTCATTACAAGTTCAGCACCTCCAGGCTCCTCCCCCGCTGCTGTAGGGAAGGTGGGAAATCTCACAATTTACTTATTTCTTCCCCTCCTTAATGTATTGTGGAGAACTACAATGTGGAACTTACATAGACAAAGTGATACCTAACAAACCAGAATTTCCTCCCTCAACCCCTAAGTAACAGAAGCCTTTCTGGTTATTTACTAGCATTATTAGCAATATCCAGCAAAGCAGGCAGGTAGTTTTATCAATACTTTTTTAAAATTTATTTTATTTTTACCTTTTTGATAAACTTTTCCACAATCTGGACAACATGCTTGTAGAGCTGGAAAATAAATACATCCATTAATTTAGCACCTTCTCAGCAGTGGCATATCATTTTAGAAGCATTTTAACTCTTTGTGCTTACTACCACTTTGGAAAGGGTACAGAACATTGCAGATACATTTCAAAAATCAGAATGTTCCCAAACTGAGAAAAATACACCATGGGGGAAACCCAGACCCAAGCCAGAAGTGTATCAGTGTGCACACAAGGTACAGAGCTTGCCAAGTATTAGTGAAAGCTTTCTGGATTTATTTTCTCTGCAATCCACACTTGGTTTCACATGTTAAGGTGCAGTTGCATCCTGCAATATTCAGTTTTATTACACAAAAATCACAACACTCAAGTGGGCGTAGCATGAAAAAGCAATGACTCAAAAAAATCAAGCTGGCACTTTGCTCCTAGTCTAAAACCAATGATATTCACCACCCACTTCTTTCTAGACAACAGCCTTAACGGCAACTAGAATAAACCATCCCCGAAGCTGAGATTAGGAAATCCTGAATATTTACTTACAAGTGAAATAATAAAACATTGCTGCTGTTACAGATTCGTCTTTTTTTGTTGTACTTTACCTTAATAGCTTTAATGGCAGCTTTTGTGATGAGAATCATCTTTGCTCGGGAAATAGGAGGTTTCATCTCCATCAGTGAGAAGAGCTAAACAGAGAAAACAAACATCAAAAATGTATTCTGAAGTTCAGCAATTAAGCAAAAACAACATTTCAGGAGGGTGATTTGATTGCTGCCATCCCACATTGGGCATGGCCACACTGCTGGCTGGCCCTGGGAGAAGTGACTGTTTCACAAACCCAAGGAAAACAGAGTTTACCGGGTTACTGCTAAAAAGAACTGCCCTGCACACTTGGCTGCCTTACCCTCCAAATGGCTCCCAGGGGAAAAGGTCACTCCTCAAGGAGAACATTTGCAGAAATTATAGGTATTATATGAAGTTTATAGAGGTTTATATGAAGAATATAGAAGTTATGTGTCATATTTATAGGTGATATTGGCCATAACTGAAAACAAGCTCCACATTTCAGAAACTGAGGGAAACCAGAACTGAACATAGAGATGGACACAGAAAGCTGAGCATACACACATAATTGTTTTTACCTTGAAATATTTCTCACAAATCACAGAAAAAATTGGTTTGTGTTACATAATTCCATTTTCATCTTCATCATAAAGAAAAAATTGAGCCTTTGAATGTGAGTAAAAAATGCCATCTATTATTTGTCACAAAACAGCAAAGTAAGAGAATCAAAGTGTCTTCATTTGTCATTGTAATGGAAAGTAAGATGTCATTTAAAACTTTGTCTCTTATGTTATTAATTAATTTAAAGTCCCAAGACACTGGTGAAGTGACCAACTTACACTGATTTATCCACTGTCTCAGTTAAGGGGAAAAAAAAAAAACATCCATGAAGGAGATAAAAAAATTTGCCCCATACTCAGAGACAAGGGAAGTTTTAACAGGGCTTTGAGCTGCACAAAAGGAAGCCTTATACCTAGAAAACACCAAGAGTAGGAAATTTTCTTTCTTATTTTGTATTTACTTTCTTAATTTGATTCCTATTCCAGGAGATAGGAAAGAAGAATAACTGTCCTTCCAGACAGTGGCAGCCACATGCCTTTTCCAACACCAACACAAGACCACGACTTTTCATTATTAATCCCCACAAAATGCAAGTTCTAGTGCCAGAACGTTGGGGTTTTAAAGCCCTTTCAGCTGTAAGAGATACTTCAGCTAACATCCCTGCTTGCTGAGAGATCACAGTATGGCCAAATAAAAACTGCCAGAAAAAAACACAGAAGGAGAGCAGGGTTTGTGAGCTGATGGTTTTTTTGGTTTTTTTTTAATCTTGTTTTCAATTTAGACTTAAGTGCTTTAGAATTAAGTGCAGAGACTCTTGATGAACAAAGTCAGTGCTATTATTAAAACTCAGGAATATCTGTTTGAAGAGGTAATGAAAGGGGAAAAAATCCAAATCCCAACCACCAAAAGGCTCAAAAACTGGGATGGGGGAGGAAGAAAAACAACCAGCATTACGACTAGCACTCCATATCCCCTCCTTTACCCATGAAGAAGCAACTGGTTCCTCCAGGAAAGGATCCAGTCCCACAGAAAGAGAACAAAGGAGCTGGTGTGGAAGCACTGCTTTGATGTTTGTATTTCAGGAACACAAAAAGACACCCCAAGGAAATTGGGAGAGCTCAGAGCAGGGCCCAAGGTGACAAGAAATGAGTGCAGCAAGAAAATAAAAAGAAGTGTCTTAAAAGTATCTCAAGCAGGACGTTGCAACTGGGGGAAACACAGAAAAAAATAAAAATCCAAGGATACATAAACTGCCAGGGAGAATGAAGGCACATATACATGAGTGTGCATACCTATCTATCCATCTATCTATCCTGCTCTTTTCACGCCCCCACCAACCTCTTGGAATTTCACCTCAGAATTTTGTTACTTTTTTGAAATTACCTAAGATCTTAGAATACCAAATAGCTATTTATAGTCAATTTTTATGTAATTCTCTGTACGATACATGTGTCAACACCATGTTTTAGCCATGGCTGCAACTAATATTTAGCTCCCTTCCTAGTTCCTCATGGTTTCTCCCTGTTGGAAGGGGGAGCTGCTCAGGAGACACACCAGTACTTCCAGCTGCATTTGTTCAATTAGACCTGGATCTTCTTTCACACACACTTCCCAAACCAATACACAAAACAGTCACCCAACCACTATTTTCAGATGGCTGTTTCACAACAATACATCCAGTTTCTCAAAGCTTTGACACAATCATCAACTCAAGGAACAACCTGGACACAAAAATTTACACTATGTTAAAAAAAAAAAAAAAAAAAAAAAGACATGTAACAAAGGGAAAGAAAATTTACAGCTTGAGAGGTTTCCAGAGTCCTGCCGCACAGCATGAACCTGTGCCTGGAATGCTGTGACCTGCCTGAAATGACTTTCTGCTTTTACTGTCCTTAAGTGCCTGTTTACAGGATGCTGATACAAAAGTAGAGGTGTTCAAGGGTATCAAACTCAAGACACAGTACAAAACATGTATTCAAGAATATTTCTGGGTGCTTCTCCCAGTAGGATGGAATTACACAGTAATTCCTATAAAGCCAGAGATGCAAAAGGCAGAAAATTCACCTGTTCAGTTTCAGGCTAAAAATCGTATTAAACCACAGCAGGACAGCAAAAGGCAAACCAAGCACAGAGTGACTGTTCCCAAACGCAGAATGAGTGTGAAATATAGGAGTTCCACAAGGGGCAGACTGAACAGAGACCTTCCAGCTCCCACTGTGCCCCTGCTCCAGCCCAGGAGCCCCGTGAGGTTCAGAGGGGCAGGCAATGGCACAAGGAACAGGGTGCTGATGGCGTTTACTTCTCAGTCTTTTGAGCAGCAAATTATTAATTTCTCTCATTCTATAATTAATGCCCTGTGATGGTTTAGTTTACATAGAAACCTGAGAACCAGGGTTTTTTGAAGTAAAAGGGAGAACTGCTACTTTAAAATTTACACTTGATGTATGATCTTAAGTCTGTTTTAAGTGTGAAGTTAACATAGTAAAAGTACCTTTTAGGACTGACTTTGAACTGACTTCCTTGGCTTTGCCCTCTCGCTCAAGTGTCTGTCCCATAAAAAGGTGTCTTTATTTACAAATAAAGAGCTGTGAGCCCATTCTATACACTCACTACACAAACCCCAGAGCACAGCAGCTGCACAGAGAGGAGTAGAGCTACAGAACCAGACAGTGGCTAGTAATTAGTGGATATCAAGCACCCAGGTCATTGTCAGGACACCTCATTCAACCTCCCCTTCTCCAATTTCCAGAGCAGTCTAACACGCCCTCAATCATTCCAACACGCCTTAGGTGTCCAACAACCCTTCCCAAAGCAGGCTCCACATTCATTCATCGTCTTTTGGAATGTATTTTATTCATGCATTTAGAAACCACCCAACCCAGCCAACCATCAGTGACTTACAGACATAACTGCAGTTGCTTGTTCCTGTACAGGAACAAAGGGCTCGTGGAGGACACGACAAACAAGCACAGATAGTGCACTGTTTTGTTAACAAAACACCTTTACTGTTAGTGCATGACCAGATCTCTAAAAGGAATTCTGTCAGAGCTATACATTTTCCTTCCCCTATAAAAGTCACTGCTTCTTTTCCTCTTCAGGTCCCCGTCTTCCTTAAAGGAAGGAGAGGGATCTGTTGCTACGCTGTATCTCAGAAGATCAATGCAAGTTTTAAATGCTTGACCAGCAGCTGCGAAGCACAGCAAGTATTAGGTGCTGCTGAAGGTAAGAGAACACCATAACATCCAGAGCTGTCAGGCTGCATTCTTTGGAAAATAAAGTGAGATTTGATTTTGACCAGATACGACCCCCAGGCAATGAAGCTCAACAGCACTTCACCAACTAGGCTACTTCTGTGGCCGAGAAAGACCAATCACAAATCCTGAATCACTGGGGAGAAACATCATCACAAAAGATACTCATATGAAAATGACATCATGCAAGTGCACAGAATGGAGTTTTGTTCTCTACTCATGTGCCCTGGAAAGACAGCTTTCGAGATCAGTGCAGGGCCCTTTTGTCCAGCACATGTCCTGGAAAGCTGCTTGTCTTACTACTTCTCTTACCAGGAATCCCTACCAGAATGGCACAGCTTCCAATGTTCATGGAAACAGGTTCAAGGCAGAGGCAAGAGACTCCAGCTAGATGCTGGCAGCTGTGTCCTTCTACTTTTCCATGCACATGGAGCCTCACTGGGGATCCTGAGCTCCAGTAACTGCTGGAGAACCACTGGGAAGGATATCCTGCTAGCCTCTATTTATAGCTCCTCAGGATGGAGGGGAAGGTTGTCACAGAACGGGCAAAATAAAGCCTTGCCATTGGCATAAAACAGCCACACTGAATCCAAACCTCAACTGTCCAGCGCCCTAAGGATGAGCAAACAGCAAAGAAGGAATGTGCAGCTCCAGCCTTAAATAAACAGCCACCAGCACCGCTCATCTGTTTGCTTCTAGGCACTTTTAGGTGGGGTATCAATTGTTTCAGGGGTACACATTAACGACTGAGACACAGGACTAAGTGAATGACCTGCATTACTCAACACAAATAAAAGATTACAAAACAGGAAAGTTGACTTTATTCTACTTCCAGCAGCAAAACTGCAGAAAAAAAAGAATCTTTATTTCTAACTTTTATGACCAGTAAACTATACCTCAAGTTTTCCAGATTAAAGAAAAAAACAGACATCCCCTAAACTAAAACATTCCAAGGATTTATATAGCAGATGTGTGGATTCAGTGTGGGGGGGTGGGGGGGTGGGGGGTGTTTGTTTGTGTTTTGAGGATGTGATTCTTAATTTTTTTTTTAAGAAAAATGTTTGTTTTCTTAAAACCATGTAAAGTTCTGTCCCATTATCCAGTTATCGTCTGTGATTTACTTATACTGTATCATTACTGTAACATGACATATACACCTAAGAGCACATGAATTCTGACTCCTGAAAGTAAACTCCTCAGAGAAAACACACTCCACTACAGACCTGTCAAATCCCACCCATTCAGCTGGCAGCACCTGCTCAAACTACAGCTGCATGAAAAGAAAGCAGCCAATACAAAACCCTTGCATGCTCCTGTAGAAACGTGAGGACTTGGAAGAGGACATTTATTGGCAAAGTTGCATTCAAAATGTAGGTCCAAAGAACAGGATTGGCAACGGCACCACAATATAACGTCAATTACGCAACCCAGGAGTTCCCACCTGCTGCCAGAGCCAAACTTCTCTCCCCCAAGCCCTTCTGCCCAAGAGGCGACACCAACCCCACAGCTTAGGGGACCACCAGGTTTACAGCCACGCTTTGAACTTGGGCACCCACCATCTGAGAAACTGAAACCAACACCAAACCCTTCCAAAAGCTCTGAATCATGGGACCACCGGACACGGAGTGAGCGGCATTTCCTCTTTCAGGCAGAGTGGCAAAGAGCTGGCAGGTGCCACCTCCAGGGAAGCAAAGCCAGAAGGGAATCACTTCTAGCACACATGGCAAGCACAGCACCAAACTGCAGTTGGAGCTGCCATAGTAAAACCACAATTCCCCGGCTACAGTGGCACTGTACAGCCAGCAAGTGGAGGAATTCTGGACCTCTAGGGTATTCTGTAGCTGCCCCATCTTCACTGCTGAAGCTGTTCCCCTCCCAGTAAAAGAATTAACTCTTCAGTGACCTGGGAGTGGCACCCTGAAGGCCTCACAAATGAGCTCTCCCAGCCTGAGCAGCCCGTGCTATCTCCACCACCGTGGGAACACCCAGAGCTTTGGTACAACTGCTCTGTCCCTGAGAAAGCCCAGAAAGAAACAACATCTGCCCGTAAATCTGACCCTCCTCACAGTCCCAGGCAACACGGGTGCAAAAGGGAAGGGACCAGTCTGAGAACTGGACTTTATGCCCTGCACAGCACCACAAACACAGCTCCTGAGAGGGAACAGGGCAGGAAGCACACAGCCCCTGAAGTTATTCATGTGCTGCTTCACACACCAGTAGCTGCACAGAAGCACTCAGGCGTACAAAGGACTGTAGAACAGGGATTTTAGTGAGTGCACTTCTCCCCCCCAGATCTGAGATCCAACTGAAACCCAGTGCTTTGCTCCTCCAGCAGCAACACAGCAGGATTTCACTCAGGATTCCTAACTGCACCGAAGGAAGGCATCCCACCATTCCTACATGGGAGAGGAAGAGGTACGGATCCAAACACGCCCGTTGCCAGGACACGGATTAGTCACGGGATCCTAGAAGCACCACTTCTGCTCTGCAGGCACCCTTCTGCACCAGCAGTGGGGTTATTGTCTCACAGGCACTAGGCACTGCCTGCACCACTCAGGTTTGTCAGCAGCATTGCTCTGCCAGGACCACTGCTCGTATTGAGGCAGGAAGTTAACAATATTGCGGCTCTTTCTAGCAACACTGAAAATGGCACACGTGTGCTGTTTTAATTTTTTGGGGAAGGTGGCTTTGTACCCTGACACCCCACTGGTTCAGAGCTGCACAAAACCCCCAAAACACTGGCAAATAAAGCATTAATAGGAGCTGCATGCTATCCACTTTTCCCTTTGCTCTTGCATAGTTTTGGTAGGGCATTCTCAGATGTGTGTACAACAAAGCCTCGCAGAGAGTGAGCCTTACACAGCCTGAGTCCATCAGAGGGGAGCAGCTGCCATTTCTCCTGTTTCTGTTCAACAGGCAGGCACAGCCAGCCAGCCTCCAGCACGAACCTGGGAACAGGCTCTGGCTCAGCTTCAAGAGACTTTCTGTCTACGGATGGTCTGCAAAGCCACACTGTCCAACTCAGGCAGAGGTATAACTAACAGTAATTAATAATCATATTGAAGTCACGTGTCAAAAACTTTATACAGCAGACGCCGAACTGAGTTGCTATATATTATGCAAAAAAACAACCACAGTCTTTGCTTTCAACTCCTCTCGGCTGACGAAGAAATAAAAAAAACCCCAAAACCAGAAGAAGACAGGGAGGGACCTTCTGTGCGGTCAGAAAGGCGAGTAAACCTGTCCAGCCCCCAGAACTGGGATCGATCCCCGAGCCCCATCCCGTGCGCCGTTCCCACAGAGGGGTGAGCCCCCTCCCAGCCCTCTGCCCGGGCCGCGGCCTCGCACCGCGGCTCTCTCGCCAACCCACTACCGGGGAATGCCAGTCCCGAACAGCACACACGGCCGGGAGCGCCGCGTGACAGCGAGCCCGCCTGGGCACCCCAGCGAGCAGGGATCGGCCCGGGATCCCGGGATCCCGCTCTGCGGCGCTGCCAAGAGGAAAGCGAAGGAGCAGCGGGCGGACGGAGGCCGGCGGTGAGGCCCGAGGCTCGCTCCAGCGCCTCCCCCCGTGCAGGCCCGGCCCGGCCCGCGCGGGGCCTCGCGGAGCGGCCGCGCTCGCCTCCATTTTTCTCCGAAGCACCGCTCTCCGCCCGGCGGCAGGCACGGACCGGCGCTCCCCGCAGGCGGCGGGGCCGGGCCCGGCCGGAAGCGCGGGGAGCCGGGGGACGCGATGGCGGCCGCCGTGTGCTTCCCCCCTCGCGCCGCGGCCCGCGCTTCGCCGCCCGCTCCCCGGCTCCCACCTCTTGGTTGAAGGCGTTCACGGCCTCCATGTCGGCGCTGGCGGCGGGAGGCGGCGGGCAGGCGGCGGGCGGGGCGGGCGGGCGGCGCGGCAGGGCCGGTCGGTGCCCTCAGGGCGCGGCCATGATGGCGGCGGCCATGGCGGGGCTCGCGGGCAGCGCGCGGCCCGGGCCGACCGCGCGACGGGCGGGGGGGGGCGGAGGGGGGGGGAGGCGCGGTGCACGCCGGGACCGGCCGGGCCTCCTCCCGGCCCACGCGAGAGGTTGGGCGGGAGGGATGGCGGCACCACGTGACCGCTCGGCCGGGCTCGGCTCCGCGCGCGCGCCAGCGCCATGTCAGCGCCGCCCCCGCTGCGGCGGCGGGAGAGAGCGGCGGAGCCCTCAGCCGTGCCCTAAACCGTGCCCTCAGCCGTGCCCTCAGCCGTGCCCTCAGCCGTCCCTCAGCCGTGCCCTAAACCGTGCCCTCAGCCGTGCCCTCAGCCGTGCCCTAAACCGTGCCCTCAGCCGTGCCCTCAGCCGTCCCTCAGCCGTGCCCTCAGCCGTGCCCTCGGCCGTCCCTCAGCCGTCCCTAAGCCGTGCCCTCAGCCGTGCCCTAAGCCGTGCCCTCGGCCGTCCCTCAGCCGTCCCTCAGCCATCCCTCAGCCGTCCCTCAGCCGTCCCTCAGCCGTGCCCTAAACCGTGCCCTCGGCCGTCCCTCAGCCGTCCCTCAGCCATCCCTCAGCCGTGCCCTCAACCGTCCCTAAGCCGTGCCCTCGGCCGTCCCTCAGCCGTCCCTCAGCCATCCCTAAGCCGTGCCCTCAGCCGTGCCCTCAGCCGTGCCACCGGCACTGCCCTAGCCCCTGGCACGGCACCGCGGTTCCGCCCCTCAGAGCAGGCCGCAGGTACTGCGGTCCGGCCAGGCTCGGCTCGGTTCGGCTGAACTCGGCCGACTTGGGCTGAGCTCATGAGTTCGGCCCATCTTGGTTCGGCTGGGCTTGTCCAGGTTGCGTGGGTTCGGTGCAGCCCGGCTCGGTTCGGCTGAACCCGGCTTGGTTGGGCTAAGCTCGGCTTGGTTGGGCCGGGCTAAGTTCAGAAGAAGGGCTTTAGTGCAGCTCAGTGGGTACAATAAAACTGAGCCATAGCTCAGTACAGTGAAATTGCTCATAGTACAGTGAAATTGCGGGTCCCATCAGTGCTTTTCTGTGGGATGTAAGCACGGAGTATTTAAACCTGAGAAGGAGTGTGTGATTAAGCAACTTGTAAACATTTTTGGTTTTGCTCCACTGGTTTTGCTTGATGACTGGAAAAAAAAATTCTAGTTGTATTATATTTGAGGGAGGAGAAAGAAACCCTATGCGAGAGACAACTCCGGTTGAGGATGGTAACAGATGATAAAGTTGATTTCCTTGGTTCTCTGGAGAAGCACTGATCAAATTCTAACCTGTGGCTTCTATTACAATTTCCGGGTATTGGGGAGCAAATAATTGCTGAGAGGCTTCACACTTTAGATTTCGAACTTTTTTTTTTTTTTTTTTAAGTTTCTTTTACTGCTGCTCCGCCAGTGCCTGCAGTGGCCAGGAGATGGCCCTGATGTCCGCACTAAGAGAGGTAAACCAGGGAAAACACAATTTTCTCTCCCTGAAACTGTCTGAGGAGTGTCACCAAATATCTTGGGCCACTGTGAATTCACGGGATAAAAGATGACTTTGATCTCGTGGCGCATGAGGGGCGCAGATTCAAGAACAAAGTCCAGGAACTCGTTGCTTCACAAAAGAACTCTGTTTCCTTGCTCAGTACGAAGGATCTGACGTGCCCCTGGATTCAGAGGACAAAATCCCTAGGTGTTGGTGGGGATTTGTTTGTTTTTAAACGAGAACAATCCTAACGGCAGTTGGCAGCACTTTGCTCTGAGATGGTGAGGTCTTGTCTAAAGATTATTTTCCACTGAAAAAGGCTTTATCACCTCTGGTTTTTCGTACTGCGGTGTCAGTGCATGACACAGAGAGCCATGATCACTGCCCCTCGTGCCCTGCTGTCCCTTTCACCTGCCACTGCCCACAGCATCAGGTTTTGTCGCCACTTTATTTTTGGGATTCACTTTCAGACCTTTTGCTGTGCTCTCAACAAAAGCAGTCAGCCCTGCTTGCATCCAAAATTCCCCAGGCTGCGTTCTTTTCAGTCAGAAAACTGTGTGTGAGAGCACAAAAACCTGTTCCATTTTCTTAGTAATAAAAACACCATTTTATATATGTACACATACATATATAGAAACACACCCACACACGCACAGACTGCGCCATGGCCACTCGGCAGATTGTTTTCTACGTGGTGTGCAGAAGGATTCTTGCAGAGGATGATCATTTTTGGGATTCAGGTCTGAATTAAATCATCTCAAATCAGGAAGGCCTGGGTGGGGAGGGACTTTAAAGCCCATCCAGTCCCATTCCTGACATGGGCAGCAGGGACACCTTCCACTGTCCCAGCTTGCCCCAAGTCCTGTCCAGCCTGGCCTTGGGCACTTCCAGGGATCCAGGGGCAGCCACAGCTGCTCTGGGAACCTGTGCCAGGGAAGGATGCTCCTGGCACTCCTGTGCCTTCTGTCACCATGAGCTGGGAAACGCTTCATTCACAAACCGGCATCGGTTCTGGTCGCTTTTTAGTTGTGGGTTGGGTTTTGGTATTTTGGTTGGTGGGGGGTTTGTTGGTTTGTTTGTTTGTTTGCTTTGTTTTTTGGCAGAAATCGCATTGTTTCCAACATAAATAATTAGTAAACAAACCCTGCCAAGATAAATATTCCTGTGCGTGCGTGTGCGTGCGTGCGTGTGTGTGCGTGTGTGTGTGTGTATGTGTGTGTGTGTGTGTGTGTATATGTGTGTATCTTCTCTTCCTTAAAGAGAGGAAACAAGTAATCGGATGGATTTTTTGGTCCGTGTGTTCCTCCAAAACTCTGGAGCACTGCAGAAAGGGGGTGTCTGAAGGACTCGAGCTCCACATCTCACTGCCACATCTCCTGGAGGCAGTGAAGCTGCTTCCCGGGTTTTTTGGCTTTTCCTGGATTTTAATGTTCCACTTCCTGTCACAAAGAGCAACATTTCCCCAGCTTCTCCTGCTCCTCTGCAGGCTCATGACTAATTGTCAGTGGCAATTTAGTACCTGCCTCTTTCACAGCACAAAGATATTTTTTTTTGTTTCCAGATGGATTTTTTTCATTTATTTACAGGCCTGGGGATTTTTGTGTGATGAGAAACACACATTGAAAAGGTTTTTGGGGTTTTTTTGTTTGCTTTTTTTTTGTTTGTTTTTTTTTTTTTTCTCCAATACAAGCATTTCTGTGTTCTGATTTCCTGTAATTCCTCTATAGCCACAAATATGGGTCATATTAGAAAAATATGGGCAAGCCTAGAGTGGATTCTAGGAAAAATACCTTGCTGTAAGTGTACAAGTACAGTTGGGAATATATTAATGTTGAATACATGTGCTTGTAAATAAGATCTTTTATTTAGATATTTTACTCAATGTGGGGATTGGGACATACTTCAGAAGTCATTACTGCCAACATTTTGGGAAGATTCTTAGAGCTTTTCTACATTTTTGATATTACACATTTGGAAAGCAACCAACTGGCAACAAGGCACATTTGGCATGGGCTGGGAAAATGTGTATTCTGCTTTGAGTGACCCTGAGGTCTGTTAGCATCTTATTTAGAATACTTAGAAGATGAAGCTCATGTAATTATGCTTTTTTGTACACATTCTTCTGTTTTGGGGAAACAAGGCCTTAATCTGGTTAATTTATTTATCTTGTTATTGGTTACTTGATTGGATAAAACCTTGGCTATTGATTGTCCAAACATTTCAGTTGTAATGCTCAAATATAAAAATTATCCTGTGATATTACCAGGGTTACTTATAAAAATAAACTTTTTTGAAAATGGACTGGTATTAAATATTGTGCTTTAAATTTATTTTTGCGTGGCTTTGCTCTGCTTAAAACCTACTTACTCTATTTGTTTTAAGGGTCACACCCACTTTTCTCACCTGTCCTGTATCTTATCCTGTATTAATGTATATTAGGGGACAGACTAAAGGAGTGCTTGTATCATAACTGTGAGGCAAAACCCTGCAGTCACATAAATACCTAATCCCTAGGTATTTAAATACATCCCTGGATTCATCCCATCAATCAACTTTGTCCCATTTGTCCTTCACCCTTCCATATTTTTCAGCTTCCTCTGTGCTGTGAGCCTGCCTCTGTGTCCCTTTCAATTTCCTAATGCCAAGCTTGTGACTGCTCCTTCAATCACCTTCCAGGAGGAGTGAAGCTGCCTTTGGCAGGAGATGAAACACTCTTAGATGAAGGGATAGAGCTGGGAAGAGCTCCAGACGAGCTCGTGAGAGCTGACCAGACATATCACTTGATTGAACAAAAGTCAGTACCTCTCCCTATGTGCTCTGCTGGACCTTCCCACTCTCTCTGTTCCAGCAACTCCCACTTCTGGTGGCAAAGTTTTCTCTGGATTCTCCCTGCAGGGTCTGGTTGGTTCCTGAAGAATAACTGGAGCTGCTGGTTGGTCCTGCCAGATGGGTCACTGTGGTCCTCTGGGCCACCTTCCTGCTGACGCCCAGCACCAGGCTGCTTCCTGCCTGACTCCCAGAAAACACATCTGAGCCTGATTTAGATTTCCAAAGAAGGAGACTTTGCCATAATGCCTCGCTGGGTTGCTGTGCTGCTTAATTACCCTCAATGTTAAAAATATGTGTCTTATTTTATAGCCTGAATTTGTCTGGATTCAGCTCCCAAGCCCTGGATCTCATTATAGCCTTGTCTGCGAGCCTGTGCTCCTACTCAGGCACACAGACTGGGAGCAGGAGCCCCCTCCCTTTGCTAGGCTTGAAAGGACCGAGCTCCTTCCACTGTAAAGTTTGTTATTTCAATCCTTTTTCACTCTCAGAGCACTTTCCTGAATTTTCTTCGGTTTACCAACTCCTTGACTTGTGGAGGTGCATTTTTCCAGCTGGGGTTGCAGGAGTGCAGGATACTTGGATCATTTAGCAGCCTTTTTTCTTCTTTCCCTTTTCTCAAGGGAAAAGAGAAGAAAAATCCTTTTTTCTTCTTGTTCTCCCTCGGGCCAGGGACTA